ATTTTTCGTGTAAAATTTTCATGCAATAAATGCATGTTAAGTAAATGAAATAGTTGCTTCATCAACAAAACCTCCAAAGGCATTATTTACAAAATAAGTCTGAAAATCAGTTTTTGATTTAAAAATTTCTCACAAATACATTTTATGTGTACAGCATTTTTAAACAAAGTCTGCATGCTTTCATATACCTGAATGGTTTATTTGGTCTTCAGTTGTCTGATTTTTATAATTTACTTTAAGAAACTATTTTGGCCCTTGACGTATGCTATCAAAGAACTCTTTTTTTCAAAATAATCTTTCAGTTATTTCACTTTGTTTTCAAATATTAAGCGTTTCACAAACTCAGCTGTTCAATGATAATGTGTAAAAAACTTTTAATTACAATAATCGTATTCACTTCTTCTGTGCATAGCCCGCGTGGCGCAGTGGTTAGAGCGCCTACTTTAGACTCGCAAAGTAAGGAGTAAGTCCTTACTTCGCGGGTTCGAATACAACTGTAGGACGTGGAGATAATTCGTTCAGATGAGACCGTAAAAATCGAGGTCCCGTGTCGCTATAGGTGCTGGCACGTAAAAACCCTTCCCTGCTCAATGGCCTATGAAGCCGAGCAAATGACAAAATTTGCAGCTCTCCACCGGCAAGTTCTGGCTTCTCCATATGCGTGAAACATTTTCGAGAGGTACGTTAAACAACATAGAATCAATCAATAATCTTCAGTGCATATACTGTAGTAAATCCCTTTCTGTATTAATTTACTTCAACTGTGTATTGCTTTTGGACTTTGTTCATTTAGTTTATACACTTATGTGTATGCCTCGATTAATAGTTATTACCCCTTTTGCCACTGCGTACATGTACTTGAATAATGTATTTGCTGTTCTAGTATTAAGATATCACGAAAGAAATTATTGTTGCTCACTTACCGAGATATCTTGAATTTTAATTTAAAGGAATATATTTAACATTTCAATTAAATTACCTAAATATTTTCTCTAAAGATTACATAAAATACTTTACCAATTGTTATTGTCTGTATCTTCATTTCCTGATTAAATTCAAATTGACAGGGTACAGCATATTTCGGGATGGAATCCAATGTGGATGCTTCTTCCAAAGTGGAATCCTCTTTTATTTTGAAGGCTAAACTTTTTGTTCTAATGTCATCACTCTCCTCTCCAGAAGGACCAACTTCTGTTCCAGAACAGGCACTAACTTTTATCTTATATTTGGTATTTGGCGAAAGATCGTGTACTGTAATTGTGCGAGATATGTCTGAAGTCGTAAGAAGAATCCAATTTTCTTCCTCGACTTTTCTGAAGTATATAACGTAATATTCTGGATCTGCAAATATAGGTTTTTCCCAGGAAATAACAAAGGAATTATACGTAGCCTCCAATAGCAATGGTTTGCCTTCTATCTGAAAAAAGAAGAATACTGTGAATCCTTAACACATCCTAATTACATATATGCACCTTGTAAAGAACAAATGTAAGATAGCTCAATTCCAGATTTGATTTTTCATAATTATGTTTTATCTAGATGTCTTACCTTTAATTTAGAAAAGGATTTATCCCAGTAAATCAACCAACAGGTTAACATTACTGCAAAAATTACCACCCATGTTGGAATAGAAATTGTAAAAGACGAGTTAAATATGCTTTCCAGGACTTGAACAAACATGGTAGCTATCAAATACCCCTTCCTTTTTTACAAATGGGTCATTAAGTAGTACAATATTATCAGATACTGGTTCTCATGCAGCAATAACAACAATCTGTAATTACATAAGGCTAATCGGGTTTTTGTACATTCTACTTGCGTATGAATATTAGCATTTCAAGTATTAATATGTTACAGTACAAGAAAGTAATTATTACCATGATTACCACTTTACAGATGCCAGTTAAGATTTTAAGCAGCGGGAGTGACTTCTTTTTTCAATAAATGATAAAAAAAATCTATATTCATTGTAGTTATATTTTTTTTACAGCCTCCTATGGACTATTTTCTTTTTTGACCGATTAAGATAACAGATAACAAAAGCAAGTTCTAACAGCTGATTATAAAAGCATATAGAATTATAAATATAGTGTTAAAGGTTATTTACTTTATGTATCTTCTATCTATGTAAATCAAGGCTCGATAATGCAGGTACATGTATATGAATACTCTAGTAGTGTGAGAAAAAAAATCACCTGCGTATTCGGACCCCTCAATTCAGTTCAAAATTTGCGACATTTTTTTTTCTTTTTGATACATAACCTATAATATACAATTACAGTGCTTAAGCTTTTTCAAATGGGGATTGGTCCTAACATCCACCAAATCATGGCTCCACTTTCGTTTTGATGTAAACGTGATCTAATAATCAGATAACCCATGCCTTCGTCTTTGCTAAAAGCTAAAGTTTATTCTGATGTAAATATTTCTTAGCATTTTGTTTCAAATTTAAGAAAAACTGTCCATTTTATTTCAATTCAACGTGATGACTGCATGGCAAATGAACATTACTGTAACCATTATATTTTTATTGACTCGGGTCAGTCGGGGCCAAGATTCGAACTCACGACCTTCTGATCATAGATCTATTGTATTGGCTACCGTGAGAGTTTGAGAGTTATAAGCACTTTTGACGTCTTGCCTTTGCAGTACTTGTTTTGTGACTAAATTGTTTATGAGCAAATATAGATTGAAGAAGTATGTAAACAGATTAGGAAAACATGGACTTACGGGTACTAAACACAAACAAATGGATGCATGGATTGACATACATTTTTGACTGATTTTGATTTGAAATAGTATAAATAATAAATCCCTGAAATATAAAGAAATCGGAGGTTTTACTTGGTGCTTAGATTTGAGACTTTGTTTTGCTTTCTATATAATGCCATACAAAATTTTGCACAAATTTTTAACCGTATGACAAAATCTTATAAAACTTTCTCACTATACTTGGTAAACATTATCAAGGTTGCCAAATCAAAAGTAAATCTACGGGAAATATTGCCGAATTCTGAAAAAAAGTTTGTGTTATTTATCCCTAATATTAGTATAATCTTTATATATATTAAGTCTAGTTTCATAGTTTTTATCTGAAATAGATTATAAACGAAAGATAAAAATGCAGAGCATTTTTTATGCCCCTCTAATAAAAGATTACAGGAATAAGAGGACAAATGGTCATAGATCACCGAAAGAAATTACAGATTCCGTTGGAATTTCGTGAGATTAATTTTGTGGTAAACGCAGAAAAAGTGGATATTTCAATAAACAAAAAAGCCCAAGGTTGTGTGTAATAAAACGCATACTTCTCATTCATCTTTTGTGTCCATTGGATTCTATATATGTTCCGTGGATTAATCATTTTGAAATGAATCTATTGTATAGCAATGAACGGTGGATTTTGGAAATTTATGATTCTCCGGAGCCACGGATGCGTCTACAATAATGAATCTGAAACATTCAATTCACAGGATTATTTGTACCATTTTTAATAGGATTTTTTGTGAAATATTAACATTTAACGCGACTAATTTCCTACATTGTTCATATTTAATTGTTTGATTTGTCATTGTCTTTTAAGTGCTGTTTACTTATTTGCCTCGCCCTCTGTTCTCATTTTCATGTAACCTGTACCTGTCCAATAAGTTGAATCTTATTGGACACCTACAGGTAACGTATTGGACGGGAAGCAGGACAATTACAAATTTACTGAATCAGGTTTAACAAAAGATGACGTCACAAAAACGTTTTAATACTGTTTACTTCAGCTGAGAAAATATACTCCAACAACATGTGTAATTTATTATATCGTTCTTTTAAAATGTTTACAATGCATAATTTGATTTAAGATTTTATTTTTTAAAAAAAAAAGGTAGATAATGTTGAAAGCTTGCCATTAAGATCTAGGGACAGATCATTCCGCTTGCAGAAATCCCCACACAGAATAACAACTCTTTAGTGTGCAGTGTGGAGATGATTCCTCTACAAGATAAATAATTTCAAGGATATCATTTACACAAGGACATATTTTTAACCCACAAATGTATTGCTCAAAAGGTTTATCACTCTTCATGCAGATAATGATTGATTTCGTCAGGCAAGCTTTTTTAAAAAAACCTGATATATGTACTTGTTCATTAGATTTTGAAAAACAAAAATGAAAACCAGAGGTAAATGATACCCGCCTCCAATAATGTCTATGTTTTGCTATATTATTTTAAGGTAATGTGTAAAGAGGAATAACTCATCTTATCAAATGTTATTTAGAAGCCGCCATATGCAGGACGTCATAGGTAAGAATATAATGGCAATGTCTATGTTTTGCAATAAGAAATCTAAAATTCGTGTCGAATAAAAAAGTATAATATGAGGCGTACAATGGCAATATGTAATAAAAATTCTGTGAAAGTTTCATTAAATTTCACTCAGTAGTATAAGAGGAGTTGCGGATAAGAGATGGGTACCCAAACGAGTAACAGACGGACATACAGACGGCCGGACATAACGATTACTATATACCCTCCTATTTTTCAAGCGGGGGTATAAAAAGGCAATAGATATGTCTTTTACCAGAAGTGGTGTTCTGTTTCAATTCATTTTTTATTACTGTATAACCACATCATTTTAATGCGTCAAATTATCGTTTTAAGAGGAAAACCTCTTGGTTCGTTGGGATTTTATTCTGTGGATAAATAATTGTTGAGTAGTTACATGTACGTATGTAACATTTTCGTTCTGCAAATGAATTTATGCGTCTCTCCATACCTCGAAAACTATGAAAATTACCCCTATCTCCACGAAAATTTTTGACTTTTTATGAAATCTGTTTGTTTGTTTGTTTTTTTTTTTTTTTTTTTTTTTTGCAAAAATATTTCTTCATTAGGAAAACCATCAGGAACAAAACAAGAAGCTAAAATATTCTGCCAGAAGCATTGGTGAAGTTCTTTTATCACAATAGAACACTGTCAAGAATACATGGAAAAGAATCATATTGGTATTTATTAAAAAAAATTGAATGATAAAAATTGATTCTCAAAACAGGAAATATTGTATAAGTAGGATTTTAAAAATCTATCTGAGGAACTCTAATCAAAATCTAGTTACTTACTACATGTAAATGAATTAATTTTACTCCTGTCTATCATTATATGTAAACTCAGCAATATAATTATGCCCTAGGATGCCTCGCATCATTTGCATTTTCAAAACACAGCCATGTCTCCAAACCACTGATGTTTAATATAATAATGTTATTTTTCATTAAAAATTAATAGTTATATATACAAGTCTTCCTTTGTAATTTAAATCTACAACCACTCGTTTGGTTTATATGTACAGCTATGAACTATTTACATTAGAATTTGTTTTAATTTTATATTATTTACATTTATAATATTGGATATATGTTGATTGACTTCCATTCAGTTAACATGTACATGAGAGCGTTACTCAACTCTTTATCTGGAGCCATTCACAAGAACATTTGATTTTACATTACAGACTGTTCGACACAAAAGTCATTTCTATCAGAGTTACTTGAAAGGCTTCCATGCTCACCACCACAATAATGTGCTCTTGATTCTTTTGCTAAATACCCCTCCTTAAACTCAATTTATGACCATGCATTTTACAAGATTAGCTTTGAAGAGGTTTTTTTGCTCATCGTAAGGATAAATGGATTTTCATTTTTAAATTGATAGTGCCGGATTCCTTTCACTAAAATCACTGATCCAAGAATCATCAAGAAGTCCACAATCAAAATGAGGCTTTTTTTACTTTAATAACATGGCATGGATTTCTCTGCTAAATATCCAGGAGAAGAAATTCAATATTTTCATAGAATTTGTGACTCAAGTGACCTTAACCCTTAAGAAGCATAGAACATGTGTCAGTTTTTGAAAGTTACGGAAAATATTTTTCTACAGCGCTTCAAGATTTGTCTCCTCGTATTAATTTCTGCTTATTCTCACCATACCTGAGCTCGAGTACTGTTGTAATTCTTTATACATTTGAATTCTTCTTTCAAACCCCGTTTCATGTTTAAGCATTTCCGATGCAATCATATCTTCAATTGTTTCGTCGACTGAACAGGCAAGAGGACTATGTTTTATACCTTGTAGTTCATTCCTACCTTCGGAAATTTTCTTGATATTGTCATGCAGCCTCTCTAGAAGCTTTTCTATATCTCTTTCAAGGTGATTGAGGTATTCCTCATATGTTAGTTGCTCTCCCTTTTCCTTTTCATAATTCATTTTCAACTCTTGGTAAGATTTAGTAACCTTTACAGCGACATATTCATAGATGTACGGAGTGTTTTTATGGTCAGACCATATGCAGTGCATAGAGCATATTCTGCAATATCCATCCGTCATCGCCCAACAATTTATTTTGTCCTTGTCATCAGGAATTGTACAGTCTTCATGACATGTAAAATAGCAATTTATACAATTTGTTACATGATGACCTGCCAGCAGATCTGTTTTATTTTGCCGGATTTCTTCTATTGTATATGATATATCGCCGCTCGACAAAATATCAGCTTTATAATCCGTGAATGTTTTTATTTGAAATTTTACTTCTCCCAGTTTTACTAGACCTTCAGTTACTTTCGGTTGAAGGAGAGATATCTCGCACTTTATTTCTTCTCGTTTTTGGGAAGTAGGAAGATCTTTGAAGATACTCTTTGCAGATGATTGTTTTAGGAAATCGAAAAATAACCCAAGCTGCTTGCTATTCATTTCCCAGAACGTGGAGGAATAGGAATCATTACTTTGACAAAGAGAAGACCAATTTACATGGAAAGACTCAACAGGTGTAATTTCATTGGCCTGAAATATTTCTGCAACATGAGCTTTTCCTGCATCCGCAAAGGTATAGAAAGCACAAAAATTTGACATCAAGTGATCCTTGAATAGTTCTAAGATAGAACTAAAATAATTTAATTGTTCTTCAGACATTTCAAAATCACAACCTTTTGCGACCAAACAAACCAAATTAATTTCTCTACAAACCGAATTCATGACAAACTGTATTCGTTTATATAGTTTTTTAGTCCCAGACGTTAAGGAACCAAGTCTTGGTATGTCAATTATTGTAAGAGGAAAGGTAATTCTGCCGCCTTCAAACTCGTCAAATTGGTACACCTTAATCCAGTCGTCATGGTTATGGTCATCTACTTCATCAACACCAGTACCATTATCATCAGAAGCATCATCATCAGAAACATCATCACTAGTCTATTAGGGAAATATTTCAATATTATTCACGATTTCAGATAAATACTTCGAAGGAAACAATTAAAGGATCTTATGTATACTAGTAAAGAACGCATTGGTAGTTTAAAGTTATGGTTGAAAGTAAAATCTAAAATTGTTACCTCAACGGCATTGTCCCTTGAAAGGAAAAGTCGGAAGTCATCTTCGAAATTTACCCCAAAGATAAAGTTCATGATCCCCTCAATATGGGTTGTTTTTCCACAGTGTGGGGTGCTCATTAGCAGAATACTTTTCCGGTCGGCAGCTAGGCTTTCATTTGCTTCCCCTAAAAAGAGATTGTGCCTGAACATATACTTTAAACGCCAAATTTTAAATCATCGCACACAAACCCAACCTTACTCAAAATCAATAGTTTACAACCTGTCGCTCGAAGTAAAATCAATAACTACCTGTTGTACCTGAGTATTTGAATTCTAATGTTTTAAAAAGATTATTTTGTCACATGTAAAACACTTTCATGTACCACGTTAAAGGTCATATTTTAAACAATCCGTTAAATACTAATCGCTGTGACATTTGTTTAATTGGTTGTTTACTGTTTCTTTTTAACGTCTCTCTTGAAAAGTTTCCAGTCTTGTGGAGAAGCTAACGCTTGTTGATGTGAGACTTCAAATTGAAGACAGGGTTATCGAACAATGGCATAGGGGATTTTTCTTTTTGTGTCGACACCTACATGTTCTGCGACACAGGGTGTTAGATAATACGATATTATACTAAGTACCGGTTTCCAAGTCCTGTAGGATTTGAACCTGCAGCTTAAGGATCAATTCTTTATTCGACGACTTTAGAAAAGACGATATACTATTGCGCCACACTGTTTCAAAAAGCAGCATATCAAATAGATAAAAAAAATCAATCTTTTGTATAACGACAAAACTTGCTATATGATTATGATTGATTGATTGATTGATTGTATGCTGTTTAACGTCCTTCTCGAGAATTTTTCACTCTTATGGAGACGTCACCGTATGCCGGTGAAGGGCTTATAATTTTGACCTTTACTCGGCACTCAGGGCCATTGAGCAGTGAGGGATCTTTATCGTGCCAACGCCTGCCGCTGACACGGGGCCTCGTTTTTAAGGTCTCATCCGAAGGACCCGCAACTTTCACTTCAAAGTGCCGAGCACATGGCGAAGGAACAGTTGCTACCCATTTTAACGACTAGGTCGGTCGCGGCCGAGATGCGAACTCACGACCTTCCGATCACGGTATACGATTATGAAAACACCAAATGAATATATCAAGAACAAGAAAAATGTTATTTTGATGTTACGTGTATTATGATCATGTCGTTACGATGCTGCGAATATATTGTAAATGATCTTTATTATAAGAAGATTAATTTTCAAGATTTTTTCCCTCTAATCAATACATACATAGTAAAACAAAACAAGAGAGTAATATGGGCCCCATCGTTGACCTGAGCAGATTGGCTATGAAAAGCACATATAAATAAAGTATTGAAACATTCATAACCCCTGGGGGGGGGGGCTAAACTTTTTCTTAAAAGGAATTGTACCTTGTAAACGGGGAGTAGGCAAAATTAAATTTTTCACTACCTGAGGATGCATCAATATAAGTAATGTCTTTGTTGTTCTTAAACAGATCATTTTGAATATTTTGTAATATATGTCTTCAATATTATTTTTTTGGAAAATTGGTCCCCTATTGTGGCCTCACCCTATCCCTGGTAGTAGTATTAAAGAAAACTGGAACCTACACTACCTAAGATGCCTGTAATGTCAATATGATTAAACTAAGCTTTTCTTTAACAAAAAAAATTAAGATACTTATTATATAATAAAACTTGCAATCTGCACTTTGTTTATAATGATTCCAATTTAAAGATTAAAGTTTTTTTTTGTCCCAGAGATTTTTGAAAAGAATTTTAAAAGACGTACGTTGCTTATTTTTCACTATACCTGAATTATCTCCTCTTTAATTTAAAAAGAGAGCCTAGCCCATTAAGGACAGATGATACAAACAAACTTTTGTCAAAAACTTTAAAAAAACCGAATTGGTTCATGTTTATGTGAATACAATGAATAGCATACTTTTTAAATTTTTATTCAAAGTAGCACAAAAATGGAATTTGTAGCGAAAAATATTTGTATAGAATAATAAGGATGGTTTCAGAAGGGTAGACTTTTGAACATCACATAAGGTTTACAATTTCTTTATATCCCAGAAACTTATTATTTGCATCATTTGCAATGAAATTAGGTCAAAAAATATATACCAATGTAGGCATCCATTTTTTGTTTGTATCGTCTGTCCTTAATTGAACAAACTTGAATCACCTTTACATAAATATAGTTTTTGGATTTTTTTTTAAATTTAACCACGAAGATGAAAACCGTCCGCGAAATTTGATGACACTTTCACTGAATCTTTATTTCCTATTGTCATTGTGACCTCTTTTTTTTTTTACTTTTTGATCTGACACATATTTTTGGTTTCCCACAGTAAAACATAACCACTGCCATTAAATTCATATAAAGGCAGGGATATCCTTTAAATAACGCACAGCGTACTGCTCACAGTACCCCAATTTTTTTTGTTTTCTTCAAGTTTTATTTGTCATTTTTTCCCATTGATACAATGTATGCTGAGATTATATATACACATGCCTGACCTTGGTTTTAGCGATGCTTTCAGAATTGTATAATCAATAATTTAAATGCTATTGAAATATTTTATTTCAAACATAACCTTGAACGCCTTCTTTAATGAGTTACTCAACCGATTTAAAATAAATATATATATATATAGAGAGATTACATCAACAACTTTACCAATTTTTATTGTCTGTATCTTCATTTCTTTATTATATTCGCATTGTCGTGGTACATCATACTTTGAAATGGAACCAGGTTTTAATCCTCTCTCTTTCAGCGTGGAATTCTGTTTTATTTTAAAGGCTAAAGGTTTCGTACTGATAACATCACTTTCCTCCCCCGAAGGACCAACAGCTCCACCGGAGCATGCACTCACTTTTACTTTATACTTTGTATTCAGCGAAAGATTACGTATTGTATATTTGCAAGTTTTGTCAGAAGTCGTGAGAGGAGTCCAACTTTCACTGTTAATATCCACTTCGCTGTAATGTATGATGTAACATTCGGGATTTGAAAATAGCGGTTCTTCCCAAGAGATGTCAAGTGAATTATGCGAAGCTTTCAGTAACACTGGTTTCCCCTTCACCTGAAATAAATATATTATGCCGATTGCTAAATTTAGCATCCTTACATTTCATAAAGAAAAAATAAAGGACATGTCAATTACCAGTAGTTAAATGTTCTTAAATGTATTTAACTTCCTTACCTCTAATTTAGAAAATGATTTATCCCAGTAGATCAACCAACGTGCTAAGATGATTGCAATAATGACCACCCATATAGGAATAGAAAAAGTAAAAGAGGAGTTAAATACTCCTTCGAAGACTTGCTCTAACATAGTAGTAATAAGATATTCTGAAGTAACATTTGGATCATTCAATAATGAAAATTCGTCGTCTCACCGCTCCTAGGCAGCAATGACAACAATCTGTGACATAGATTCACCCGGAGTTTTTAAAGTATTTCACCTGCGCATGAATATTACACATTTTGAAAATGTCGAGAGAAAAATTAGGAATTATGTTAAAATTGAGTGACATGTTTTGGAGTAAGCAATAGTTTAAGAAAACAATATAAAGAAGACTTTTTTTCTTTTTTATAGCAATTTTCTAGGTTCTTTTTGGACTATTTTTTGTGACGGATGTGGTTTTGATTACAGAAATGTCCTTGTACCTTCGAAATTGGAATAATCTAGAAGCTTCAATAAATCTACGTAAAATATTTGTAATACTTGATTTAGATCAGGAAAAAAAATTAAAAAGAAAGAAATGAAATTGCTTTCAATATAAAACTCCGGAGATGAAATTAGAATATTTTGCTTAAAAAAAAAAGCTTCATTTTGTATCTTTCTGTAGTGTTTGACTTTCATATACGATTAGATGAATAAGAAAGTGATTCATTTCGTGAATATAGAGAACATAATTTCACTCTTTAGAACATTTGAATTTTTTTAGTTTTAAGTTGTAGAACTTGTGAAAATGCAGTGTTTAAAAGGTTTTGTACCGGTATATTAAGATATTTTTGATTGCTTTTTCTTTTTATATTTTTTATCAGATTTTGATTTGTTTGTTTTGCTGATTTTTCTAAATTATTTATTTTCTTATTCTCACAAAAATACAGATAGTTCAAAGTTTTTGTTCATTACTAACGCATATTTCTGAAAATGTAAATTAACCCCCTAGAATTTTCAGGGGCCATGTTTTTTTTTTTTTTTTTTTTAGAATAACCATGTGCACTGTTCGTTATCTTTATTCTTTTCATTGCATAACTGCGTCATTTAAATTGGTGAATTAAGGAAGCTTATACTTAAAAATCAATATGTTTCACCTTTCGTCATTGATTTTGACATTTGCATCTTGGCACACATTTTGTATTTTAAATTATGTGCTGTTTTTCATGTATATAGAAACGCCATTCTACACCAATCTGTTTTTATGTATTCTACTTAAAGAAAATTGTGATAATACGTATATATTAAGCAAACAAAGAATAATAATATTACTGATGTCTTATGACTGGGTATAAGGGACTCTTATAGCTGAACTAGGTGCTGTGGGTGTCCTCGGTAGCTGATTGAGGCCGCCACTTTGATTGCAGACAACTAGACCTAAAATTCTAATTTGAACCCGAAGATGTCTTGGGTTCAATCTAGGGATGGTTTTGGGAACATACCATGCATTCGTGATTGTATTGACATGCGAGTTTATTACATATACCCTTGTAATTAAATTCATAACATTTAAGAAGAAATGCCTTTGGCGAGGAAATCTGGATGCTGTGAGCACTGTACATGTACAAGAGCTATAGCTTCTGGTCAACTTTAATAAATGAGAGAGATGGATTAGCCTCCTTCTTGAGCCTGAACTGAATATCATAGTCACGTCACCCGAGTGTCTTTACTGTACTTGCCCAGAATCTAAAAGTATGAATATATTTAGATAATTCTACCCTGCTCTCTCGAGGGGCTGAGTCATACATGGATGCATAAATGAAAAATGCATCCGCTCAGACTTAAGGGGCAATGTTAAAGCTACCCCTTTTCATGGATTGATTGTAAGAAAATATTTTGTCTCAGCATTTGGGTCGACCCCGTGTGATTTTTCGAGCAACAGGCCCTAATTGGTGTAGTTGCCATTAGCAATATTAAGTTTGAGTTTATATGACATTGTGTGGCCTAAATCGTTTTCATAAGTTGGTGTTATCAAAGCAACGTAACTATCATTTGTCATATCATGTTTTGTACCTTGGCTGTTGTCACAATCAAAGTTGATTTTGTTACATGTTTATTCGTTTTTCTTTTATTAGTATTGCCCTGTGTTGAGCCTTATTTGTATTTAGTGTTTATCCTGCAAGGAGCCCCATTGTGACGCTCAGGTGATTTAAATATTTGGCCAGTCGCTATATAAGGTGATGTCAGGTTTGTCTTGGGTAGCGCACGTTTTCCTTGACCAGTGAAAGTAGTTTCACATGTCCATGGAGGGTTAGGTAGTTTTTCGTGGTAACTGAATCTCCAATCAGGGTAAGTGTAATTTACTTACATTTATTATATTAAAAAGTAATGCAGTATTATGTTAATTGAGCTTATTCTATTTTTATCCACGAGAAAGTGTTTGAATTGTATACGGGAATTTTACCACGTGCACATGCCGTGAGTTTAAGCGTAAAGTAATGATATTAGTTTATTACTCAAAGTGTAACGTTACATTGTATTATTATTTTGCTTTGCGAAGCGGTGTGATACATGTTAGTTAAAACTGTATGTTTAAACAAGTATATGTGTAAACATTTATGTTATGTTGTAAGGCAGCCCGTTCGGGGTCAAGCTTATTATGTCTACGCATATTTGTTGAAGGTCCCTATTGATACATGTACGTTAGTATGATTTGGTGCTGTCGGCGGAGGCAACCTAAGGGCGTGGTACGCTGGGCCGAGACCGTGAGAGAGGAAACGTGGTTTCCCGGATTTGGCAGCATTGCAGACGCTTAAGACGCGTGGGATAGGCGCGGGACGTCGAGGACGTGGTGGCATTTGGTGTAAGGGCGTGGTACCCGTAGGTCATGGACCGTTAAACACAGGAGGCGGGGATGGATATAGGAACGTGGTCTCAGGATGGACACTGATAGACATTTTGAAATTCTTTAATTTTCATTTTGTATATTTGTACATATTTGTTTTTATATTATATATAAAATTGTAAATAGAAAAATAGTCTTGTTATCACTGATCAAGCTTAGGGTGTCGTGACAATGGTGTCAGAAGTGGGATGATGATGTTAGCTTTGATCAGTGATTGGTTTTTTTTAAAAGAATGTGTTTTGTGTAAATTGGATTGAACGTTGGAAAAATATTGTAGTATTTTCATGTATTGAAGTTATAATATATTTTTTATTGTATTGTTGTAGAGAGACGTTCAGATAGAAGTTAGGGGACCCTGAGAGGAGAGGACGTTACCATGAATTAGTTTGTATTATGAAGGTTTGATTTAGATTTAGTTCAGTTTTCCTGGAGTGATATTTTGCTTTGTCATTTTTGTGTCAGTTTATGTTGTTTGATAGTTGGTTTATTTACTGGCGATTTTTGAGATGGATTTGTTAAAAGAGCTGACTGCATATGGTCAAAGTTTGGAGTTGACGGGAGCGGATCTTCAGAGGTTCATCCGTGAACAACAGGCACATCTGCGAGAACTCAGAGTTGAGCAGAGAGAGAGACAAAAGGAGGACAGGGACTATGAGTTGAAGAGAGAAGCTTTGGAAGTAGAGAAGCTCCGTCTAGAAGAAAAGAAATCTCTAGATGCACTCGAAAGTAAGTACCAAGCTAATGTACATGAACTTAAATACCAGTTGAGTTTGAAAGAGACAGAATCTAAAACTGCTAAGTCAGATATATCTGATGGTTCATTAGCAAAGGTTCCTAAAATGCCATACTTTGATGAGGTTAAAGATGACATAGACTCTTTTCTTAGACGATTTGAAAGATACGCTATAGCACAGAAGTGGAACGAAGGAATGTGGGCCGTGAACTTAAGCGCATTACTTAAAGGACGAGCTCTTGATGTCTATGCCCTACTTCCACAAGAAAAGGCTCTGGATTATGCAGCCCTTAAAACAGCTTTGCTGAGGAGGTTTGAGAAAACAGAGGACGGTTTTCGAGAATATTTCCGTAGGTGTAGACCAGAGGTAGGTGAAACCTTTACACAATTCGCAGTTCGTTTAGGAAGTTATCTAGATAGATGGATTGAGTTTGGAAAAGTTAACAAAACTTACAACGGACTATATGACTTAGTGTTGCGAGATCAGTTCATATCAATCTGTAATAGAGACTTATCGTTGTTCCTAAAGGAGCGTATTCCGAAAAGTATTGAAGATATGTGTATGTTAGCGGATCAGTTCAAAGAGGCACGTCATGTAAACATATTAACTTTAGTTTCTTCTAGCAAAAAGGAAACGACATTTGAAAACAGAAATCCAGTTGCAGCAAGAGATAAACGCAGCCAGAAGGAGCAAGTGCCGCCGAAGACTAATGGTCAGTCCTTTTCACAACAGAAGAAGACAGCGAAGGATATTCGATGCTACAAATGTTCCAGGCTAGGACATATAGCCTCGCAGTGTAAACAGTCATCAAGTAAGAATCAAAGCTTTGCGGTGAAAGCGGATGCTTCAAGTGAGTCAGGAAGCAGTTTGAAGGAACACAGAGATTCAGGCAAGTGCTCTGCTTTTACATCTATAGCATCAACTTCAACATTTTCAATGGCAAATTCGTCAGACTTATTTACTACATCAGCTTGCAGTGTAGCTAATTTCTCAGATCAGATGCCTGTTTGTGTTGGTGAAATTAATGATCAGTCTGTTCAAGTACTTAGAGACACGGGATGCAATGGTGTAATAGTGCGTAGGAGTCTTGTCCATGATGATCAACTTACTGGAGACCATCAAGTGTGTGTTTTGGCGGACGGATCCAAAATTGAAACCCCTATCGCAAAGGTGAATGTTGACACTCCGTATTTCGTAGGAGAAGTGAATGCGTGGTGCCTACATGCTCCATTATATCCTTTGATTATCGGAAACATTCCGCATGCTAGAGATCCTCACGATCCGAACAAGGACTGGAAGCCTAGTGCTGTGAATGCTGTAGTGACTAGACAACAGAAACGCATGGAAGGTAAGAAGATAAAACCTTTTTCTGTTCCAGAAATAATAGGATCTGAAGTTTGTCCAGAGGATATGTTAAAAGCACAGGAAGAAGACGAGACGCTGAAGAATCTTAGAGCTTTGGTTGGAAAGGAAACCAACGGCAACAGAGTGAAGTACATTTTGAAGAAAGGTATGCTGTTTCGAGTTTTCCAGTCAGAGAAAGTAGAGAATGGTAAGCAGTTTACTCAACTAGTTGTTCCTAAGAAGGACAGAATGAAAGTTTTATCACTTGCACATGAGTCTTTAATGGCAGGTCATTTAGCTACATCAAGGACAATTGATAAAGTGCTAGCTGAGTTTTATTGGCCAGGAGTCCAGGCTGACGCAAGACGGTTTTGTCGATCATGCGACATATGTCAGAGGACTACTCCTAAAGGTAGGACAACTAAAGTTCCAATGAGTGTTATGCCGATCATAGATGAGCCATTCAGACGAGTAGCAGTTGATCTGGTGGGACCAATACAGCCAATGACAGATAACGGTAATCGTTATATTTTAACTTTAGTTGACTTTTCAACACGCTATCCAGAAGCGGTTGCACTCAAAGGTATAGAAACTGAAAGAGTAGCTGATGCATTAGTAGATATATTTTGCAGAATCGGAGTTCCGAAAGAGATGCTGACAGACATGGGGACACAGTTTACTTCAGAGTTGATGGGTGAAGTAAGTCGTCTACTTTCGATGAAACAGTTATCCACGACACCCTATCACCCGATGTGTAACGGCTTGGTGGAGAGATTTAATGGTACCCTGAAGCAGATTCTTCGACGACTGTGTTCAGAGCGGCCGAAAGACTTGGACAAGTACCTGTCAGCAGCACTTTTTGCGTATCGAGATGCCCACAGGAGAGCTTGGGATTTTCGCCATTCGAGTTGGTATACGGACACAGAGTCAGGGGTCCGATGAGAATCCTACGAGAGCTTTGGACAAAAGAAGAGACGGATTCTGAGGTGAGAAGTACTTATCAATATGTTGTTGATCAAAGAGAACGCCTAGAGTCTACTTGCCAGTTGGCCAGAGAGAATTTAGAGAAGTCATCCGAACGTTACCGAGCACACTACAACAAGAAGGCTAAAAACAGAGACATGTCAGTAGGTGAGAAGGTGCTTGTACTTTTACCAACAGATAGCAACAAATTGTTAATGCAATGGAAAGGTCCTTTTGAGATAGTGAAGAAATTGGGGAAAGTTGATTATAGAATAGACATGAACGGCAAAATTAAGACATTCCATGCAAATATGCTCAAGTTATATTTTGACAGGAAAGAATGTTGTGTTGATGCTGGTATCTTAGGTGTCGCTAGTGCAGCTATGGTGGATGTTGAAGAAGACGATTCAGTTGACGACAGTGATCTGATAGATTCAACACTACCCACTTCGAAGGAGAAACCCAGTGATGTCAAAGTAAGTGATGAACTGACAATAAGTGAACATGAACAAGTGAAATCGTTACTTGAAGAGTATAGTGATGTGTTATCAGATATTCCAGGATGTACGACATTGGATGAGCACTATATAAAGTTGACGAGTGTCAAGCCTGTGCGATCCAAACCATACCCTTTACCTTTTACAACTCGTGATGAAGTGTGCGAGGAAGTAAGAAACATGCTAAAGTCGGGAGTGATTGAAAGTTCGAACAGTCCATATTGTTCACCCATTGTGATTGTGAAAAAGAAAGACGGTGCAAATAGATTTTGTATTGACTTTAGAGCAATCAATAAAATTACAGTGTTTGATTTGTGCAAAGGGTATTGGCAACTTCCTTTGGCAGAGTCTGCAAGAGAAATAACGGCGTTCCAATCACCTCTTGGACTCTATCAATTTAAGGTTATGCCGTTCGGGCTAGTGAATGCTTCTGCTAGTTTCACCCGTTTAATGAGAATGTTATTAGCAGGGATGCAATCAATTGACAATTTCATTGATGATGTGATTATTTATACTAGAACTTTTCAGGACCATTTGATGGTGATAAAGGAGTTCCTACAAAGATTGCGGGCAGCTAACTTGACAGCCAAGCCAAGCAAATGTTTCATTGGATTCAGCAGTATAGAATGTTTGGGATACATTGCAGGAAAAGAGGAACTCAGACCAATTCCAGATAAAGTCGAAGCAATCCAGAACTGTATAAGACCTACAACAAAGAAACAAGTAAGATCTTTTCTCGGTTTGGTCGGGTTTTATCGTAAGTTTATTCCCCATTTTTCAGCTGTTGCCTCACCATTATCCGACCTGACGAAAAAGGGACAGCCGAACAAAGTTGTGTGGGGAGAGACCCAGCAGAACGCTTTCATCACCCTGAAATCAGCACTTATGGTAACGCCAGTACTAAAGCTGCCGAACATCAACGAAGAATTCATCTTGCAAACGGACGCATCAGATGTTGGCATTGAAGCGGTTCTTCTGCAGTATGAGAATGGTATTAAGAAACCCGTTGCTTACGCCAGCAAGAAACTTACAGCTCAGCAAGTTAAGTATTCTACGATGAGAAAGAATGTTTTGCTATCATATGGGCAGTTCAGAAATTTCAGAGATATATGTACGGAAAACAATTAATGTTGGAGACAGACCATCAGCCGCTTATTTATTTATCTCAATCTAAAGTGCTTAATGCAAGACTAATGAGATGGTCCTTACTTTTGCAGCCTTACAGGTTCCGTATTGTGGCGATTAAAGGATCAGAGAACGTGGGAGCCGATTGTCTAAGTAGGCTGTAGGATTTGAGACATTATGAACATTGTAGTTTTGTACATATGTTTTTGTTGTTGTTGATTGTGAGTTTTGCACAAGTTCAGTGAACTTTCTTGAATTGGGGAGGTGATGTCACAATCAAAGTTGATTTTGTTACATGTTTATTTGTTTTTCTTTTATTAGTATTGCCCTGTGTTGAGCCTTATTTGTATTTAGTGTTTATCCTGCAAGGAGCCCCATTGTGACGCTCAGGTGATTTAAATATTTGGCCAGTCGCTATATAAGGTGATGTCAGGTTTGTCTTGGGTAGCGCACGTTTTCCTTGACCAGTGAAAGTAGTTTCACATGTCCATGGAGGGTTAGGTAGTTTTTCGTGGTAACTGAATCTCCAATCAGGGTAAGTGTAAGGATGTATTCGCTTTGACAAAAGAATTGACCTATAGGAGAGAACTATTTCCCGGAAAAAAATACATTCAAATATTAATCTTTATTTGTTATTTTCTATTGTATATATGTCTAAAGTTTTCAAATTTGTATTTTATACCTAATATTTATTATTCAAAACTGTAGAATAAACCTCCAAAATTGGCCAAAACACCATTTTGTCCATTAAAGCATTGATTTTGGCTTGAATTTCGGCCAAGAAGTCCTTCAGGGCAGGCCTGCCCCTAAACAAAATTGTGATATTTTGATAGGTTAGGTTGTAAGGAATAATTTAAGATAGGATTTTTTTAGGGGCACCCCTGCCCTAGGGTCGAAATTCACAAAAAACCTACAAAAATTAAGGAAACTTGATTTTGAAAATCCGTTTAAAATTTATGCCATATAATTTTATAGTCAGACTAGCTCAGTTGATATATGTGCTGACTTTTACACTGACGATGCTTACTTTTTAAATTCGAGGGTTCGAATCCACCTGGTACCATACCTTTAAAGTTTTAATTTTTCGCCTTTTCAAAGACTATTTTATTTTATTTATAGACCTTTGCATTTACTTTCAATTATTTATCCTTTATGCATGCCCATTCTTGATATAAGGAACACTAAAGAGAGATCAGATTGTAACAATCCAATGTACAGTTGTCAGTCAGGCGGAACAATATAAGCACACTTTCTCCGAGGACAAGAAAAGCTCACTTTGTGTTACTCGATACAGGTATTCTTGGAAGCATTGAGCTGCGAAGAATTTCATTTGTATATATTCCTAAGAATTTAATCACATTGACTTTTTGTACATATATCAGTAACTGTTTTCCTTGGATTTCATTTAGGCCTGTATAATTTGCACACATTAATGGCATGTTTTATTATATCCACGGATAAATACTAGTAGCCTGAACATAAAGAATAGAATTTCAGAGACAGTATACATTACCATTAAGCACAATAAGAAGTAAAGAAAAATATCAATTACTATGTTTGGAGATAACAAATTAAGAAATCTATGAAAGGGTTCAGCTCCTATCTCTACTCACTGAAATAAAGATTTAGGAAAAACAAATTGTTATATGTATTCAGCCTAATGTCATTAATCAGAACGGAAATCGGCAAGCTTTTTGTAGAGAATAAAACCAAGCCCGGTCCTATAGGTCAGATCCCTATTTTTAAGGGGGATGTACGGCCACCTTTAGTGCAGTGAGAGCAAAATGTAAACATTTCTTCAAATGGCTAAAATACATTATATTTTGATCAAATTTTAAGTCTTTTTGATAAAGATACAATAAATATGCATAACCAAATGCATGTTGTGCATATATAATCTATACTTTTGCAGAAAAATGCTTTTGATATGCTCCTTAGAACTGCGCAGCTACAGAATTCAGCAGAGCCTTAAAAAATCCAAAAAAATATGCAAACTGTGCATTAATGTTCTCTCTACAACCATTTGTTGAGAAAATGTCTAAATTTTGCACTTTTAAATGATAATTTCAAGTTCAAAACAAGGTACCATTGTCTTCAAAAAGAGTGTAAAGAACCATGAAAGTAGTTCATGGATAGCAGCACGTGGTCTATTTTTAGCACAGAATCTTGTTTTCCAGACCTCTTCTTAATATGGAGGGGCATAACAATCTTTAAATGTAGAAGAGAATTACAGTTGCAAAATATTTCAAATAATATGAACACTTTTAAAAGAGGAAAGGTGTTATAGTGTGGCTTGAAGTAATTTATTTAGTATTATTATCGAACAGCTGTTATATAGTTTACGTACTGATATAAAAAAAATTTAAACTCTTTGATTCCAGGCAAGGAAAAATGAGCACCATCAAAGTTAAAAATTAAGAGTTTGTAAGTTTGCCACGGATAAATTATATTATCTATTAAAATTTAATTATCTACAATAAAACACAAAGAAATTAGACACATGAAATTGATACGAATGACCTTGTTTTAGTACCTACTAGTACGAAGCGTTATCAAAAATTTCGCGAAATATCTCTATATCTACAAAACCACAGTTCAGATTAGATAGCCAAACACAAGTTCTATAAATAGCATATGCTGAAGTTTTGATCCTTGTTTGTGATGTCACAATCTGAAAATGACGTCATTATTCAGGTACTTTTGACGAAAAATGGTTGTCTCAGTGGAACTCGTGGCACATGTATATCTTAGAAATGCCTTTGAAGTAGCGTATAAGAATTTGTTCGCTTTAGTGAAGGAAGGCAGATGGTTAAATATGATACTTGTTATGTTGCCCGGTGAAAGCAAGTTTGAAAAGGGATGTGTTTTTAATAAAGCAATATGCTATCAAAGACCTTCAATTAAAATTTTACACTTTGAAAAATACTTGAATATTTCAACAATAATATAAATATCAAATACCTAAGATATTGTTTACTTTTTGATCACCCCTCGTATACTGTGCCAAATAAACATGCATTTATAATTTTCATTACAGAGGAGCAACAGTTGAAAAGGCATGAAATCATTCAGAGTGGGTTAGGAGATTTAATGAATAAATTTTTTTTTCTATTTGCCCATATTTTCAAAATTACAATTGTACAAAGTAAAGAGAAAAAATCAACCTATAAACATCTTTAAAATGATGTTTGGTGGTCCTCCCAACGCAGGGAAAAATAATTGGGTCCGTATTTATAGGTGAGAAAAAAAATCCTTAAAATTTAAACAGAATTGTTGACGGAAGAAAAAGAAAAAAATATCGTGTAATGGAATGTTAAAAAAATGAGTCGGGCCATTTCTAGGCAGTAGATCGGGAGAGAGGGCAACCAAATATTTTTATAACAAGTGGTATTATAAGGCTAGTACATGTTCCATCACATACTTAG